CCCCCCCCCCCCCCCCCCCCCAACCCCCCCAATCGCCACCAGCACCACCATGCACAGTTTGGAAAATCAGATCACAATGGTGTGCTGCTCCTCCTGGCGAGCAAGCAGAAATTGAAGCGTGTGGACCTCGTACAGAAAGTAGTGCTGTGTTGGCTGGAGGCACTGGGAGGGCTTCCCTGGGACAGCTTAGAGTCGGCGGACGGGGCCATATTCAAGAACTCAGAAGCCAGAATATGCCAGTGCCTTCGCGCACTTCACCAGTAAGCGTGCAGAATGTTCCCCAAGCCCTGGATGAACCGGGAGATCCGTTCCCTACTGAAGTCTGCGTCTGAAGTGTTCAAGTCTGGCGACCCTGACCTGTACAGGAAATCCTGATACTATCTTCGCAAGGCCATCGGGGACGCCAAAGGGGCAAGGCCGAACTAAGCTCGAGACCCAGACTAACCACACGGGCACCCGTCGTCCGTGGCAAGGCTGGCACGGCGTAATAGATACAGAAGGCGAAAATGATCACGGGCTACAGTACACCCTGGCCCCGGTGAACTCGGTGCATTCTACGCTTGCTTTGAACAGAAGCTCGTTGAAACGATGTCACCCTATCCCACCAGCCCCGCTGCACCTGTACCCACGGCCACTGCCGCAGGGATTAGATCGGCCGCCTCAAGGGCTAGCCCACAGAAAGCCACCGGCCCGGATGGAGTCCCTGGCCCTGCGCTCAGGTCCTGTGTGTGTGGGCCAGCTGGTGGGAGCGTTCGTAGCCATCTTCAATCTCTCCTTACTACCGCCTGAAGTCCCCCATCGGCTTCAACGAAGACCACCGTCGTCCTGGTGGCAAAGAAAAGCTATGTGGCGTTCTTCAATGACTACCACCCAGTGGCTCTGACCTCCATCACTACGAAGTGCTTTGAGAGCTCATGGCTCACGAGAACTCCAACCTCCCAGTTTGCCTTGATCCCTTGCAATTTTCTAATGGACACGGGCCCATGGCAGGCACCATCTCCCTGGGCCTGTGCTCATCCCTGGAACATCTGGATAACAAGGATACCTACATCAGGCTCTTACTTATTGACCACAGCTCCGCTCTCAACACCACAGTCCCAAACAAACTCCTCTCTAAACTCCGAGACCTGGGTACAGGAGTACAGGAAGGAGACTGAGTGCTTAACAGCACGGTGTTAAAAACAACAATCTCTCCATCAACGTCAGCAAAACGAAGGAGCTGGTCATTGACGACAGGAAGCAGGGTGGAGGGCACGCCCCTGTCTGCATCAATGGTGCTGAGGTGGGGATGGTCATGTTCCTGGGAGTGATGATCGCTAACAATCTCTCCTGGTCCACCCACGTTGACACCACGCTCGAGAAAGCACAACAACTCCTCTACTTCGTCAGGAGGCTAAGGAATTTCAGCGTGTCCGTAAAGACCCTTAGCAAGTCTTATGGGTGCACCGTAGAAAGTGTTCTATCCAGATGCATCATGGCAACTGCTCTGCCCAGGACCGTGAGAAACTACAGAGAGTTGTGAACACAGCCCAGTCCATCATGCAAGCCAGCCTTCCATCCATTGACTCTGTCTATACTTCCCGCTGCCTCAGGAAAGCAACCAACATCATTAAAGACCCCTCCCACCCCAGTTACACACTCTCCCACCCTCTTCCATTGGGCAGAAGATAAAAACGTTTGAAAACATGTATGAACATATTCGAGTGCAGCTTCTTCCCTGCTGTTATCAGACTTTTGAATGGACCTCTTTAATATTAATGTTGAATGCATCCACGATAATTTCCTTGAACAATATGTAATGGAACCTACGAGGGAGCAAGCTATCCTAGATCTAGTCCTGTGTAATGAGACAGGAATAATTAACGATCTCACAGTTAGGCATCCTCTTGGAAGGTGCGATCACAGTATGGTTGAATTTAAAATACAGATGGAGCGTGAGAAGGTTAAATCCAGCACCTATGCCTTGTGCTTAAACAAAGGAGACTATGAAGGAATAAGGAAGGAGTGAGCTAAGGTAGAATGGGAGCAAAAACTTTATGGTGGGTCAATTGAGGAACAGTGGAGGACTTTCAAAACAATTTTTCACAGTGCTCAGCAGAAGTATATTCCAGTGATAAGGAAAAACTGTAGGAAAAGAGAGAGCCAGCCATGGATGCTTAAGGAAATAAGGGAAAGTATCAGATTGAAAAAAAACACATACAAAAAAGCAAGGAGTAGTGGGAAACTAGTAGACTGGGAAATCTTTAAAGGCCAACAGAAAGCCACAAAAAAAGTTATAAAGAAAAGTAAGATAGATTATGAGAGTAAACTAGCTCAGAATATAAAAACAGGCAGCAAAAGTTTCTGTAAGTATGTAAATCGTAAAAGAGTGGCGAAGGTAAACATTGGTCCTTTAGAGGATGAGAAGGCCAATTTAATAACTGGGGATGAGGAAATAGCCGAGACATTAAACAGTTATTTTGTGTCGGTCTTCACAGTGGAAGACACAAGTAACATGCCGAAAACTAATAGCAAGAAGGTTATAGCAGGTGAGGACCAAGAAACTATCATTATCACTAAGGAGGCAGTGCTGAGCAAGCTCATGGGGCTAAAGGTAGACATGTCTCCTGGCCCTGATGAAATGCATCCCAGGGTACTAAAAGAGGTGATGGAGGAAATAGCAAATGCACTAGTAATTATTTACCAAAATTCACTGGACTCTGGGGTGGTTCCCGCAGATTGGAAAACAGCCAATGTGACGCCACTGTTTAAAAAAGGAAGTAGACAAAAAGCAGGTAACTATAGGCCAGTTAGCTTAACTTCAGTAGTGGGGAAAATGCTTGAATCTATCATTAAGGAAGAAATAGCAAGACATCTGGATATAAATTGTCCCATTGGGACCACACAGCATGGGTTCATGAAGGGTAGGTCATGCTTAACTAATTTGGTGGAATTCTTTGAGGACATTACTTGCATGGCGGGCAATGGGGAACCTGTGGATGTGGTGTATCTGGATTTCCAGAAGGAATTTGACAAGGTGCCACACCAAAGGTTGCTACAAGTTGCACGGTATTACAGGTAATGTATTGGCATGGATAGAGCATTGATTGACCAGTAGAAAGCAAAGAGTAGTGGTAAATGGGTGTTTTTTTTCTGGTTGGCGGTCAGTGGCTAGTGGTGTGCCTCAGGGATCAGTGTTGGGACCGCAATTGTTTACAATTTACATCGATGATTTGGAGTTGGGGACTAAGTGTGGTGTGTCAAAATTTGCAGAGTGGTAGAGCAAAGTGTGCAGAAGACACTGAAAGTCTGCAGAGGGAGCTAGGTAGTCTAAGTGAGTGGGCAAAGATCTGGCAGATGGAGTACAATGTTGATAAGTGCGAGGTCATCCATTTTGGTAGGAATAACAGCAAAATGGACTATGTTTTAAATGGTAAAAAATTGCAGCACGCTGCTAGACAAAGGGACTTGGGTGTCCTTGTGCATGAATCGCTGAAGGTGGGATTGCAGGTGCAGCAGGTGATTTAAAAGGCAAATGGAATTTTGTCTGCCATTGCTCGAGGGATGGAGTTTAAAAACAGGGAGGCTGTGCTGCAGCTGTATAGGGTCCTGGTGAGGCCACACCTGGAGTACTGTGTGCAGTTTTGGTCTCCTTACTTGCGAAGAGATATACTAGCACTGGAGGGGGTGCAGAGGAGATTCACTCGGTTGATTCCAGAGTTGAGAGGGTTGGATTATGAGGAGAGACTGAGTAGACTGGGATTATACTCATTGGAATTCAGAAGAATGAGAGGAGATCTTATGGAAACATATAAGATTATGAAGGGAATAGATAAAGTGGAGGCAGGGATGTTGTTTCCACTAGCAGGTGAAACTAGGACTAGAGGGCATCGCCTAAAGGGTTGTGAATCTGTGGAATTCCCTGCCCAGTGAAGTGGTTGAAGCTACCTCGCTGAATGTTTTTAAGGCACGGCTAGATAAATTTTTGAACAGTAAAGGAATTAAGGGTTATGGTGAGTGGGCGGGTAAGTGGAGCTGAGTCTCAAAGATCAGCCATGATCTTATTAAGTGGCGGGGCAGGCTCGAAGGGCCAGATGGCCTACTCCTGCTCCTAGTTCTTATGTTCTTATCTCTCTTTGCGCTGTCTTGGCTGCTGTAACACCCTGTCCTGCACTCTGACCTATTACCCTGATGCACGTGTATAGTACAGCACGTAAGACAATGTATACTTTGGTACATATGACAGTAATACATCAAAATATCAAGGGCATAGCCTAAATCTTTTATCTTGCTTCGAGGCAAGTGTGAGGTGCCGTGTTCCAGACATGATTCGATTGGCCACGCTACTAGCCTTTAAGCAAAACACACTTTTTATATTCTTCCATCACAGTTAAAATACAAAAAAAAAGAACTGGCATAACTAACTCTATCGAAATACTTAACAAAGTAACATTATTTAGCCACTACCAGTCAACAGCTCCAATATCGCGGCCTCCCATAAACACACCCTTGGCAAAGGCAGATTCAGCAAAACCAGATTTCCCTCACTTGTGACCCCCTTCAGTCTAGGAGGAGGAACACCGACAGAATGAATGTAGCAGCAGAGAGAGCTCAAGATTTCTTTTCAGCAGCTTCAACTTTTGGAGAGTAGGGGGAACCCAACTTCAACAAGTGAAAGCAAAAGCTAAAAGGCTGGGTCTGTGTGAGCCTGACTCCACCCACTCATGTTTCTTCTGTCTAATTTTGGGGGGGGAAAAGAAAGACCCAAGGCTACTTGCTCTGCTTTCCATGGAGCAGACATCTCGGCAACACCCCACTTTAAGAGAAACAGAACAGAGCAGCTCCTGAAAGGCACATCTCATTGCAGGGGGTGCAGTTTCAAAATAAGGAGCCTCCCACCTGAGGCAGAGCTGAGGTGAAATTCCTGTTCCCATCGCTGAGCCAAATGATAATCAACCCCTCACAGACAAAGTTTCAGTCTGTTGCTGCCAGCAGATTAACCTGTAGCAGGCTGCTGACTACATATTGGTTATAGGGTCATACAGTACGGAAACAGGCCCTTCAGTCCAAACAGTCTCTGCCGACCATAATCCCAAGCTAAACTAGTCCCGCCTGCCTGCTTCTGACCCATGTCCCTCCAAACCTTTCTTATTCATGAACTTATCGAAATGCCTTTTAAACGTTGTAACTGTGCCCACATCCACCACTTCCTCTGCAAGCTCATTCCACACACGAACCGCTCCCTGTTTAAAAGAAATTGTCCCTCATGTCTTTTTTTTTTCAAAGATCTTTCTCCTGTCACCTTAAAAATATGCCCGCTAGTGGTAGAGTGGTACAGCACAGAAACTGACCCTTTGGTCCATGCTGACCAGGCTTCCCAAACTAAACTAGTCCCATTTGGCCCACATTCATTAAATCCTTCCTATTCATGTCCCCATCCAGATGCCTTTAAATGATGAAGTCGATTGGGTGGCCAAGGCTCGGCAACACTAAGGGGGCTCTCGCTGAAGGTTCAGATTGGGCCCAGTCTATAGCTTCAGCTTGTGGCTCACACGGCAGACGCTTGTCACCTCCTCAATAAATCTGCCAGACAGTCTGAGTATAGTGAAGGGGATCGAGTGTTTAGAGGGTAGGGTTTTCAAGGCTGTGAGGAGGGTTGGGCTGGGGTGCACAGACCGCCTCGGGATAAGGGCCTGATGGTTTGGGACCGAGTTGAGTAGGAATGCCTTCGCTTGGTGGGTTTTTTTTTTGCCTCCCAGGGTTGTTCGCACTTTGTGGTTGAATGCATTTAAGGTGGGGATACACGCAGAGCGCTGGTCTCTCAGGGGATCGGGGGACATTGGGAGCCAGTGGGGAGGGGAGTTGAAGCCCAGGATCGGCCCCGGTTGTGTTAAATGGCAGGGCAGAGTCAATGAGCTGGATGGTCTCCATCTTGCTGTTGTTTCTGGGATGGATTTCTCTAATGGAGGGCGCCTCTGTGTGAATATCTGAATGGTGTCTCTATGTGCCTGTGGATGTGGTCCTGTGGCTCTTCTGTGTGTGTCTCTCTGCCACACTCTCTCCGTACCTCTGTGTGTGTGAGTTTCTACGTGTGTGTGTCTGTCTCTCTCTGTCTCTCTGTAGCCATGTCTGTTTTTTGCCTGACAGGCTGAGGGAGCTCTGCGTGAAGCTCATGTTTCTCCATCCCGTGGACTACGGGCGGAAGGCCGAGGAACTGCTTTGGAGGAAGGTTTACTACGAGGTCATCCAGCTCATCAAAACCAACAAAAAGGTCAGTGACCCAGGCTCGACAGCAGGTTGCGTCGGTGGGGCGGGAGGGGCGGTGTGAGAGCCTCCGCGTGAGACAGGTTTGAGACTGACTTCTCCTTCTGACCCACGTGGGTCCATCAAGCGAGGAAATTCAGCCATGGGAAGCGGCATCTCTTGTCGTAAGAGTGCACAATCCAATGTCTTCCAAGACGGGCCGCTGGACCCGAAACTGTAACTCTGCTTTCTCTCCGTGAATGCTGCTGGACCTGCTGAGTCTTTCGCAGCAATTTCCATTTTTATTGCTGAATTCCAGCATCGGCAGGGCCTTGGTTTCCTCTTTATTCAGCTTCGGATTAATTGCTTTGTTAGCCGTGGCATGGTGGTAAGGGTCACCGGATCCAGGCTGGGATCCCGCCTTGCCAGTTAAAAGTTGCCTTTGGTGAAATCTCTGGAGTGAAAAGCCAGGTAGTCGTGTCGATTATCATACAAACCGCTCCCCCTCAATCTGCCACTTTCCCCGGTCTTGTACTGTCCGTGAC